CCCCAAAACCCCAAAACCCCAAAACCCCAGAATTTATTATATTTATTGAAAATTATAATAATGCTCTTGCTTAACAGGCACTGGGACTTTCATAAGGGACTGAACTTCAGGATCAATTTTTGCCTTTCTATTGTTCGTAATATCCTGGAGATGTCTCTGATTCACAGTTAGGATGTCTTTTAAGATCACTTCTGATTTAACCCATCTTTCAATATGTTTGAATTGGGAGAAATTCTTTATTTGAAGACAGTTAATTACAGCAAATATGTGATCACAGTAGATGAGATTATGATTGAAATCTTTGCATCTTCAAGTGATGTCAAAGAGGGAGGTGAACCCATCCCTCTCGTTTGTCTGGAATTCCCTGATTTGAACCATGTACTGATCCTTTTCTTCACTGGCATTATCTTTTACTATGTAGCTGCCACAGAAGGTTTTTGCTTGGCTTTCAGGGCGAGATACTGTGTGATAGAAGCTTAAAGCATATTCTATCAGCATGAGATTGAAGGAATGATTTGAGTAGATGTTCCCAAGATATGTTAATATAGGATGGGAATGCCTCACATCTCTCCTAGCTACATACATTTCTCTGATAATTTTTCTCAGAATTTTATCGAAAAGATCAAGTCCAAGAGTGAATACATCACAAAGCGTTGATCGGGCGAAAATTCTTTGCTTCAATTGGGCATTGATACTCAGTGCTCTGGTAATACATCTTGTGTTTGCTGTAAACACATTTGGGATGTAGGCATTGGACCACTTTTCTTTTATTGCAAACATTGATCTAAGATACTCTAGTTTTTCCTCACTAAGATGGTCATCAGATGAGAATATGATATCCTGTAATTCAAGAAATCTTTGAGATGAATTTGTTGATATAGTCTCGATAATATGCCGATAAAGCATATTTGCACTTGCACTCTTCCTTTTACTCAGGTGGATAAATTGTCTCCTAAAAAGTTGCTGAATACTGAACTGTCATAATAAATGGACTGATTTATTCATTGATCTTTCTATCCCGTGGCATAATGCTGAATCAAAGTCTGTGAGGACAACTCCTGGTTCCAAGCTGTCATTATAGAAAACAAATTTCTTCATGACCCATTGATAGCTTTCAATATCTTCTTTCTTGATAAATGCATAGGCGAAGATGATATTATTTCCTTCGCATGTAACACCAGAGAATACAACGAGAGGCATATCATGCTTATTTGTCTTATAGATTGCATCAACAATCACAACATCTCTAAATTTTTGGTAGACTTTCTTCATTTTTCCAGTAATAAAGATGGCTTTGTTCAGTCGAGTTTTGTCTTCTTCATCGTATTCAATTTCATAGGACATTTCAGGATCGCCAACTTTATATTCCTTAATCATGTTTACGAATTTTTCTACATCGCTAGCACTGGCCATGAACTTGTAATTGCCGTATTTGATATTCTTCATTAGGTTGTAGACTTCACCATATTTTACATTTCAATTGTACTTCTCGTTGATGATTTTTTGAACATCAGCAGCTGTAATTTTTCATTCAACATACATTGCAATCTCAGACTTAACCTCAGGATTCTGGAGAAGGTATCTGTCCCTAATTTCTGGAGGATGAGAGTGCTTTATACAGCATTTACCATCTCTCATGTAGCATTGTTTAGATTCTACCCACTTAAACCTGGCGATTACAGGGCAAAGCATAGCTGAAATTCCGTCTCTAAGAACTAGTTTAGTATCATATCTGTACTTTTTCGTATTTCTCATGTGTCATGCAATCGTGAATTGATTAATAAAGCCATTCTCATCTCTTCTCGCCCCACACTTTTTGAACTGAAGCTTCTTTATTAAGCCTAAAGAGTTATAGGTTTGAAGGGCTTCCTCATCAGTTTGAAAATATATAGGGAAATGTCTGAAATCAACTGAATAAGTTTCACTAGAGTCACAACTTGTTAGGAAATCTTCTGCTTTTTGATATGCAAATCTTTTGGCTTCTCCAGTCATAAGTGTATTCTTCTCTGCAGATTTGATATCAAGTTCAACTTTGATAAGGTCTCTGTTAACATGAGCTCCTTCAAGTACAGAAGGAGGTTCATCAAGCCCAGTAGGAAGATTATCCCGTTCAATATCTATAGCTTCAATATCATTCGGTTTCTTTTCCTCATCTTCCTCTTCTGGTGGTGCTCCAAGTTCGAGTAGGTCTGGCTCCTCCATTTTTGTCTAAAATTGAGCTTTTCAAATTTTAATGCAAAATAAGGGGTTTTGGGGTTTTGGGGTTTTGGGG